GCTCAGTGATGGGGCCTGTGCTCGGTGATGGGGCCTGTGCTCAGTGATGGGACCTGTGCTCAGTGATGGGGCCTGTGCTCAGTGATGGGGCCTGTACTCTGTGATGGGGCCTGTGCTCAATGAGCTCTTTATGCACCAATTGTTGAGACTGGTGGAAACACGCGTACATTCTCAGTCCACTAAAGCAGCCAGGAGCTGCCAAGTCAGGCCACCGGTGCTGCAGATTGTCTCTGCTCACCCACATTCCTCAGAAGCACCCAGAAAACCAAACCCATTGCCACCGAGTCAATTCTAACTCATGGCGACCATGTGTTCAGAACTGTGCTCCATGGGGTTTCTTGGCCGTAATCTTTATGGAAGCAGATCACCAGGACTTTCTTACTCAGAGCCACTGAGTGTGTCTGAACTGCCAACCTTTAGGTTAACAGCTGGTTGCAAACTGCTTGCCACATCCAGGTTCAGGTTCCCTTGGAAGAGGGCCTGAGATTAGACAGAAATAGCCAGTCCCAGGTTGAATGGGCAAGCCCTTCCTGGAGGACAGCATGCTCTGTGGTCCCCTGGCCACCAGGAGGTCAGCTCCCACGCTCTGGGTCTCCCTCATGGTGTTATCTCAGATCCAGGAAGGCAGGGGTGGAGGCAGGCATCGAGGGCTGCATGCAGCTGCAGCTCAGGAAGCAGCAGCCTCCTCTCCAGGAAGTGAAATCACCCGGGAGATGTCATCTCAGTGGCATTTGTCCCCAGCGGCAGGGCGGTGGGGCCCCAGGGCAGCCCCTTACCTCGGGCAGCATGCTGTCCTGCTCGCCAGGGGCCTGGGCCTCGAGTGGTGGGATGGTGATGGACAGGTTGGGCGGCTTCCGGCTCTGCAGGCGGCTGCTGGACACGGAGGAGACGCTGCCACCATTCTTGTTGGCAGAGGCCATGGTGGGCATGAGGCTGCATGGAGATGGGAGGGGGCAGGGGTGTGAGAGGCGGTGAGGCTGAAGGGGGCATGGGGATGCTGGCACCAGGGCAGGCAGCCCAGACTGAGAACCATCTTACAAGACCATGAACTTAACTCTGGACCAAATGACAATACCCCACCTGTCTCAGCTCTCAAGTGCTGCTACAACAGAAACACTACAAGGGAGTGGCTTTACAAACAAAAATGCGGCAGAAATGCAATTTGGGCTAGGTGATGCTATGGGTTGAATTGTGTCCCCCCGAGATACGTGCTATTATCTTGACCCCTATTCGTGTGGATGTAATCCCATTTGGGAGTAGGGTTTCTTGGTTAGGTTAACGAGGCCACATTAGGATAAGGTGTGTCTTTGTGATATAAAATGAGGAAATTGGGCACAGAGACGCAAGCAGAGATGGGGGAAGATAGATGCCACGCCACATGAAGATCGCCGAGGAACCAAGGCACAGAAGCTGAAAAGAGACAAGGGGCTTCCCTACAGAGCGGACAGAGACAGAAAGCCTTCCCTTAGAGCCAGTGCCCTGAATTCAGACTTCTACCTCCTAAACTGTGAGAAAATAGACATTTTTGTCTGTCAAAGCCACCCCCTTGTGGTATTTCTGTCACAGCAGCACTAGAGAAGTGAGACAGGTGGGGTATTTTGAGAAAGTCTATTTCTGTTCTTCTTCATTTGCATCCCAGACCGGTAGGGGCTGGGGAGGTCCCCAACTTGCCAGCTCATTCCATTTCTGGTCTTTCTGCAAGGACCAAAAAACAAGCAAGGGGTATAAGGATGAAAGATGTGGAGCTGGACAACTCCAGCCACCTCACAGTCAGGCCGGGGTGAGCAGGGGCCACAGGGCAGATTCCTGTGGACAAAGAGCTGCCTCGGCCTTTGTCCTGGGCCAGGCGTGGGGAAGGACAAGAGAAGGCTCAGGGCACCCTGGTGCACTGAGCCATGGACAAGGTGTCCCAGCCATGCCAGGTGCCTGCTGCAGCTTCCAGGGGCCAGCTGAGCAGGGACAGGTGGCTCCTGGCGGAAGCCCTCCCGGGCGGTGGGAGAAAATGACGGCTCAGCCCAATTTCCAGGAAGACAAGAACGCCATTGCTGCTTCCTGTCCCCTGTGGCCGCCCAGTTCCTTTTCCAGGGAGGAGTGAAACTGCATCTGGCTGGTGCTCTTTTCATATCACGGTGGAAAATTTTAATGATGAAAGCGATATATGCTCATTGCCAAAAAAAAAAACCCAGAATATAAAGCAGAAAGTCAAAGCCTGGCCCAACTCTCCAGAGAAGAGAGCTGGTATGTATATCCTTCCGGGAGCCTCCCTACACCGAGAAACGGACTTTAAAAGTTTACACACACACTCACACATAAATACACTCACACACAGACACACACATACACACACTCATACACATATACACTTACATACTAATACACATACTCAGACACATATACACACTCACACATACTCATACACATACATGCACATACACAACTCATACACATACATACACACATCTACACATTCACACACACACTCATATGCATACATCTACACACTCACACGTACACACTCTCTCACTCTCACACACACACACACACACACTCGCTCTCTCTCATCTTTTTACTCTGTACCGTGACATCTTTCCCTGCTCTACCCTTACTGGGGACTGTGGAGATCCCACTCACTTAACTCCCTCTTGATGGTTATTTGGAATCTTTCTAGCATTTTAAACTCGTGCCCAGTGTTGCCATGAGCCCTGGATGCCGCGTTTGCTTGTTTGAGTGTTATTATAAGACAAAGTTCTAAAGCGGGATCGCTGGGGTGACAGGCAAGAGCGGCCTGAAGTTCCATGGATCCTGCTGCGTGGCCCTGCAGAGGTGCCGCTCTGCCCTGGGTGTGGGCTTTTCCACACTGAGCCGCCGGTCCCCAGCTCCCCTGGCTCCCAGCAGAATTAATGCTCTCTGCCCCTTTTTATTCTCTTCATCTTCGTCTCTTGCCCGGGACCCTTCTCTTGCTAAAATCCTCAGCTATCCCTCTTCTCCGCCTCCCTCTCCTCCTGGGACAGGCTGGGTTTGGCTGTTCCTGCCCCACTACAAGGCCAGGGACCCCACACCCATCTCCTAGTGTGGGTGCTGACCCTGGGTGTGCACAGACTGGGGGGAGGGTCATCCGGAGCCCTTCAGCCAAGGTTGTGTGGAGTCAAGGTATGGGGCGCCAGGGCAACACAACGAAAAACCAAAACCAAACCTAACAGTTGCAGAGGCGATTCCGACTAACGGCGACCCCATGCGTGCAGAGCAGAACTGCTCCACAGGGTTTTCAAGGCTGTGACCTTTCAGAAGAAGATCTCCAGGCCTTTCTTCCAACATGCCTTTGGGGGGTTTCGAACCACCAACCTTTCGGTTAGTAGTTAGCAGTTAATCATTTGTACTACCCACGGACAGCCACTTTTATTCTGAATGTGTCCCTCTCCCTCCATCTCTGACCTGCCCCACCAGGGCCGTCACCTTCCCTCACCTGGAAGACCACCGGTGTCCCACCTCCCCTACCTGCTGCCCCTCGAGCACCCACTATCCACCATGCTGCACATCGCAGCTGGAGTCGCCTTTCAAAGGCCCACATCACACCATGTCGCACCCCTACTCAGCCCCGGGATCTCCTGTTCCCGCTCAGACTCAAGTCCAAACTTCTTACTGGAGCTCCAGGCGCTGCGTGACTTCCTCTCCTCCCACCCTGCTCCCTGCTCCCCGACTTGGCCATGCTGGCCTCCTCACTGTTTCTCGAACCTTCCAAGCTCCACAAGGCAGTAGGGAGCAGTGGTTAAAGCACGGACTGGAGCAGCCGCCTGGCCTTGATCTGCAGCTCCCATGCTTGCTAGCGGGGATGACTCACCTGGCCTCACCTCACCTGGTCCTCACCTCTCCAAAGGGGATAACACACTTCCTCCCTCAGACAGGTGCTGTGAGGACAGAGGAGTGAGTACGCGTCTGGGCCTCGAGCGGGTGCTCCCTGAGCGCTGGCCGCTGCCCGGCTGCCCCCTCCCGTTGTCACACAGGGAGCAGCTGCGTCATTCCGGCCCTGGCTGGAGCACCACCTCCTCAGAGCTCTCCCTCACCGCCTGAAGCAGCCCCAGACCCTCCTGTCTCTCCCTGACATCAGGCTGGTCAGCCCTCACGCGCTCTGAACTGACCTTCGCTGATTCCTTTTTGCTGTTTTCTGCCTCACTCGCAGCTGTATCTCCAGCGTCAGGAGAGCCCCAGGTCCTCAGGAGGTGTCAGCATGCATTTGCTGAAAACACCGATGAATGAAGGAAGGAGCCAACACCTGGGTCCAGCCCACCCAGCTACCCAGCTCCCTACCTTCAGAGTCTGCAGCTTGGCCGGCGGCGTCCTTGGTCTGGATGCAGAGGTCTTTAGAGCATGTTGTAGTTCTTTCCTGACTCGGCACAGATGCTCTGGGGCCAAGCGTTGGCCCTGCCGAGAGGCAGACGGATGGACAGATGGAAGGACAGCTGGGCGGGCTCCAGGTCAAGCAGGGCAGCCTTCCTGCCACTCACGACCTGTAGGAAAGGAAGGGCAAGCTCAAGTGTGTCGATACTACCGCGGCTTTTAATCCTCCTGACCTCAGTCTCCTTGTCTGTAAAATAGGGACAGTCCCACCTGCCTCACGAGTGACAGATTAAAGGAAGGAAGTTCTCTTCCTCCTCACCTGGAGCAAGGAGGCATCTCTTGTGGTGCTGAGCTGGGCAGAAGCCACAGTGTCGCACGGCCAAGGCACCGCCTCAGAGCGCTTCCCTTCGACCTCCTGAAGGCTGACTGCTCTGGAGCTTGGCTGCTGGGCCAGAAGCCCATCGGAGCCCAGCATAAGAGCCAAGATATCCCTAATTTTTTCCTTTTTCTGTTTCAACAAGAGCCTTGGTGGTACAGTGGTTAAAGAACTCAGCTGCTGACTGAAAGGCCAATGGTTCGAACCCACCAGCCACTCCATGGGAGAGAGATGTGGCAGCCTGCTTCCGTAAAGATTACAGTCTTGGAAACCCTATGGGGCAGTTCTGCTCTGTCCTAAAGGGTCGCTGTGAGTCAGAATTGACTCGACGGCAGTGGGTTTGGTCTTCTGTTTCAACATTACTTTAACAGAAACATTTAACTAAAAAATCCAAGATTGTCAGCTATTTTCTGATTCTGATTTATTTTCGATTGGAGTAAGCCAGATACTTGAGGCAGTGTTCAAATGATCTGGAAGTTTTTGAGTTTTTAAAAACAATTTACTGAGGTGAAATTCATATGGCACAAAATTAACCATTTTAAGGTGAACAATCCAGTGGCACTCCTGTGTCTTTTAAGAAGTCTTGCTGGGTGGGGGAAGCGGGGACAGCCAGGACAACAGAACTCACAACAGCCCTTCCTTGCTCTAGCCAGGGGCTGCCGGGAGATGCTAATGGAGGCCAGGCGGGGTTGAGTCCTTGCTTATGCCAGGCCATCATCCCACTTCTCCTCAAACACCCTTGGAGGTGGACACTGTCATCACTTCCATCTTGTAGATGGAGAACAGAGGCTCAGAGGGGTCAAGCAACTTGTCCAAACTCACAACCAAGAAGTGGTGCAGCTGGGACTCAAAGCCAGGTCCTTCTAACTCTAGGGCCTGGGGTCTCCTTGGGGAACAGGCACTTCCTCTGCAAAGCTGCGGTACACTCGGGGCTGGGGTACACTCAGGCTAGAAGGTCCCTGTTATGGATTGCATCTTGTCCTCCCAAAATACGGGTTGGAATCCTAACCCCTAAACCCTATACCTGTTATGTTAATGAGGCCCTATCAGCGTAGGGCAGGTCCTACACCTAATCACTTCTGAGTTATAAGCAGCAGCACACACAAACAAATCAAGAACTCCAACGACTGCCGGCAGCTGCTGGAAAAGCTGAAAGAGACAAAGAAGGACCTGCCCCTAGAGCTGCACTCTACATTTGGACTTCTAGCTTCCTAAAAAGGAACCTGGTGTGCAGTGGTTAAGGTGCTTGGCTGCTAACTGAAAGGTCGGTGGTTCAAATTCATCAGCCGTTCCTCAGGAGAAAGATGTGGCACTCTGCTTCCATAAAGATTTCAGCCTAGGAAACTCTATAGGGCAGTTCTATTCTGTCCTATAGGGTCACTATCATCAGATGGCAATGGGTTTTTTTGTTGTCATTGTTTTGTTTCGGTGGCGCAATGGTTAAGTGCTTGGCGGCTAACGAAAGGTTGGCAGTTCAAACCTAGCAGCTGCTCTGCAGGAGAAAAGACCTGGCGATCTGCTCCTATAAAGATCACAGCCTAGAAAACCCTATGGGGCAGTTCTACTGCCATGAGTCAGAGCTGACTTTTGGCACACCACAACGAGCCTCTTAAACTTGGAGACAAAATTTCTGGTCTTTAAAGCCACCCACTATGGTATTTCTGCTATAGTAGCACTACAGAACTGATACAGAGAGGGAAACTTGGCCTGGACTCCCAGTGGTTTTCAAACTAGCTTCCTCAGAGGCCTGGAGTTAACCCAGTGGTACCTGAGGGACTGCCATGGGCTGAGCGAAGACTGGGGGACGAGTCTGGGCCCCCCATTCCCTCAGGCAGTGCCCCTCATGCTTTATATACCGGAACAGGGCCTCCCATTGCCGAAGCCCCCCAACTCCAGGTAAGAGGGACGATGGGGACAAAGGGGGACTAAGAAGCAGCCACAAGGTAGAGCCCCGGGGTGGGACGCTGCTGTCTCGTTTGCGCCAGACCAACAAACTCAGGCATCACGTTCGACCCTAAAGAGCTGGGGAGCCGGATTCGACAGCCCAGAGCAGACTGGTACGTGTGTTGGAGCCTGTAGAGAACAGACACACAGAGCTGTGTGTCCCCCGAGTCTGGGGAGCCCCCTGAGGATGTCACGCTGCCAGAGCCGCAGCCAGCTCCTACATCCAACACCGCCCAGGGGATGGTACCAAAACAACAGCCTCACCTGGGGCCTCTGCACAGAAAGCACCCCAGTTCCCTTCCTCTGGGGCCAGGGTACAGGGAGAGGGCATCGGGCAGGCATCGCCCTAGGAAACTGGCACCCCCCAGAGGGTGGTCAGGGCAGCTGAGAAAGGCGAATGGGGGGCACCAGGCCCAAGTTCAGTTAAGGTCACCAAGCAGGTAGGATCCTTCTGGAATTCAGAGCTGATTACACCCCCCTCCCCAAGTCAGCACGCTGTCCTTCAGAACCTGTCCCCACCTCGACCAGACAAACCTGACCCCCAATCCCCCACCGTCCTCTCAGCTGCGGCCCTGTATCTGGCAGCCAGATTCCACCCCACCTCCCTGGCCAAGGCCTGCTGGTCTTTCCAGGAAAGTAAAATGTCGCCTCCTCCAGGAAGCCTGCCTGGTCACCACTCAACAGACACAACTGCTTTCTCATCTGCCCTCTCACACCACGTCCTGCTCCCCCCCAACCCTGGGAAGCCCCTCAACCCTGGGTGGCACAGGGACTGGCACACACTAAGCCCCACTAACAGCTTGCTGGACGGAAGGCTGGTGAGGGTGGACATGCACGTGGCTGGGAGCTGGATGGATGGTTAGAGCACATGGACCTGGACAGACGTCGTCTCCCCCAACCCTGCAGCCAGCCCAGGAAGCAGCCCCCTCTGGATGGAGGGCTCCACATGAGGGCCACCTGCCTCACCGACTCTGTGCCCACTGCAGGCCTGAGGATGGAGGACGCTGTCTCGGGATGTCTCCCCAACCCCAGCACAACCCAGACTCTCCACCCAAGCTCCCTGGCCCACCACGCCTTCCCCCAGGCCATGCTACCCCCTGGCTGGGACCCCTGCCCAGCTGCTAGCATCAGACAGAATCCAAGCCTGGAGGACCAGGGAGACGGGACCAGCCTGGGGCAGTACTGGGTGTCCTAGGGGGAACTGGCTTGGCCCTTGGCTGGAGAGACTGGGGGCAGGGCTGGCGGAGAAAGAGTGTGGTGTCTAGGAGACCGGACATGCTCACCTTGGTGGGGCAATAGTACGAGTCCTGAGAGGCGCCCTGGTGGCACAGTCGTTAGGCACTCAGCTGCTCACCAAAAGGTCGTGGTTTGAACCCACCAGCTGTTCCATGGGAGAAAGATGTGGCAGTCTGCTTTTGTAAAGATTACAGCCTTGGAAACCCTATGGGGCAGTTCTACTCTGTCCTATCGGGTCACTATGAGTTGGAATGGACTTGATGACAGAGGGTTTTAGCAAGAGTTCTGGGCGACAGCCACAGCCTGTAAGGAGCTACACACACACAGACACGCACACACACAGACATGCGCACACGCGCGCGCGCGCACACACACACACCTGCACATACACGCACGTTCACATACGTGCATACACAGGCACACAGGGGCGCACATATGTACACACAGGCGTGCACGCACACACACACACACGCGCGCGGGCCTCAGCCTCCTTTTCTGTTAAATGAAGGAGCTGGATAAGCAAGGGCTCAGCTTTGACATCTGTCCTCTCTACCGTGGAGGGGAGGGCCTGCTACTTGCTGCCTTTGCAGAAATGGGTGGGTGGGGACAGCAGGTGGGCCAGAAGCCCAGCCCCTTCCTGGGGCCTCAGGAAGGGGGCAGTGTGGGCTGGCAGGTGCCCAGGGTGGGGGCAGAAGCTGTTGGGCCCAGGTGGCAGAGACTAGGCAGAGACCAGTGCGCAGCTCTGGGAGAGGCCCCGCCCTGCACTTAATCTCCCGCGCCCAGAAGTGCTTGCTCAAGCAGAGGAAATTGTGACATCCTGGGACCAGGCTTCCTCCACGCCACAGAGTCACATCCGCTGCTCTCTCTAGGACCCCCAGCCAGCTTGCCTCAGCACACACTGTTACTGCCCAAGCTGGATTCTGTCTCAGTGGGGAACGTCCCAGAAAAGGGCCTCCAGCCCCCAGCCCCAGAGTAACTAGGAGACCCCAAAGGGGCCTGGGGAGAGGGACATGGGGTAGGGGGCAAGGGTGTGGAGTTAGGACGGGACAGACTCTACTTCCTCTTCCTTCAGGGTGGGGTCCAGTGTGGGGTGGGGCAGATCCCAAGAGAAAGTGAAATGCAGAGCTTGAGTCATCCAGGGTACCCCAGGCTGTGGGAGGCTGAGGTCCCTGTCCCCAGCCCACCTGGAGTCAGCATCACCCCTGGGCTTCCCGGACAGTGCAAAAGGTTCCAGCCAGTGAGTGTGGCCAGGAGCAGGTGTAGGGCAGAAACGCAGATTAAGGAACTGCCGGCTGGAGAATCCGGTTTTGCCACACGGGGTGGGGCTGGGCATGCCCAGCCAAGCCCTATCCCAGCGCAGCTGAGGCAAGCATAGGCACCCCTGCAGGGGCCCCAACAGTGACCACCAGTAGTACAATTGGAAAGCCCCCCCAGCCTGCCTGGCCAAATTCATGGGCACAGGCCCCCTCCCCCAGCCTGCCAGGCTGCACTCATGGGTACAGGCCACCCCCCTCGCCTGCCAGGCTGTACTCGTGGGCACAGCCCCCACCCCAGTCTACCAGACCATACTTGTGGGCACAGAACCGCCCCAGCCTGCCAGGCCATACTCGTGGGCACAGCACACCCCCCGCAGTCTACCAGACCGTACTTGTGGGCACAGGCCCCCCCGAGCCTGCCAGGCCACACTCATGGGCACAGCCCCCCCTCCAAGCCTGCCAGGCCATACTTGTGGGGACAGGCCCCCCCTAGCCTGTCAGGCCGCACTCACGGGCACAGCCCCCCATCCCCAGCCTGCCAGGCCACACTCTTGGTCACAGGCACCCCCCACCAGCCTGTCAGGCCGCACTCATGGGCACAGTTCCCCCACTCCCAGCCTGCCAGGCCACACTCGTGGGCACAGGCCCCCCACCCCCAGCCTGCCAGGCCGCACTCATGGGCACAGGCCCCCCACCCCCAGCCTGCCAGGCCACACTCAGGGCACAGGCCCCCCCACCCACAGCCTGCCAGGCCACACTCATGGGCACAGCCCACCCCCCAAGCCTGTCAGGCCACACTCATGGGCACAGGCCCCCCTTCCCAGCCTCTCCCAGCTGCAGCTCCCCCTGTGCTGAGGCCCCTGCTAGACTCCCCTCCCTCTCTCCTGCCAGCCACCAGCGCCCCTCACTCTAGCGGCTTTCTGGGGCTCCCTGGCCTGCCTAATGACCAATGCATCCCCAGTAATGCTTGGCCCCTTGGGACCCCATAAGGCAGGCAGGGGGCAGGGCGTGAGCAGCAGCTGTAACCCCAGAAGGAGGCTGGCAGGAGCTTGACATTGAGCCTGCTGCCTGTGGCCAGAAATAAGGCCGGGGGGAGGGGCAAGGGGCAAGCAGCCCCTCCCCCTACAGAGAAAAGAGGGAGACAGTTTACCACACTAGACATGACCAGGAAGTTAAGGGGACCTGGTAGGGGGGGTCAAGTCACCTGAACTGTGGAAGTGAAGAAACCAAAATCTGGTCCCCGGAAACACCTTCCAGTCTGCCGAGTGTCCGGGGAGTGAGCGTCCTGGGAGAGTGGACCGTTGGAGGGCAGGACAGTGGCCCAGGGCTGCTAGGAATCTGTCTGTCCCCCACTGAATCACAGTATGACAAGGTGAGGACTAGGGGTGAGGAAACAGCTCCCGTCTCCTGCTTCCCAGCCACAGAAACTGAAACTGATTCTCCCTGCCTGTGGCCCTTCTAGAAACCAGGTCATTTTAAGAAAGCTGCAAACAGGAAGCTGGGCCCTGCCTTCTGAGCGGTCCCTCGCTCTGCTGACCTCGGGGAGTGGCCCCAGCACCCAGGATGGAGGCCCGGAAGGAGTCGCTGATGGGAAAGCTGTCATCTCAAACCCGGCTGCCCACACATGTCCCCCGCAGAGCAGTGACTCAGCCCCGCACACCTCCTGGCCCTGGCCAGGGGCGACGGGGACAGGGGCCAAGGGCAGCAAAGTGTGAAGAGGCAGCTGAGGGTCTGGGGACAGGATTCAGGAATAACGGAGAGAGGATGGAGCCCTGATGGCGCCATGGTTAAGCACTTGGCTGCCAACTGGAAGGATGACAGTTTGAACCCACTCAGCAGCTCTGCCGGAGAAGACCTAGAGATCTGCTTCCTGGCCATCTGCTTTCATAAAGATTACAGCCTAGAGAACCCTATGGGGCAGGCGACTCCATCACACGGGATCACTATGAGTCAGAATTTACTCAACTGCACCCAACAGCAATGACAACAAAGAAACAAAAGGGAACGGAGGAGGGGCAGCAGCAGTAAAGAGGCCCGGTAGGAGCTTGGGGTCATCACAGCAGGGTGGGGAGGGGAGGGCGAGAGGGAGCCGGCAGCAGGAAACCCAGACAGCGGCCCTCCCTCCTGGCATCACCCACTTCCCCAGAGAGGCCAGGAGCTGCTGGCAAGTCAGTGCAGACACAGATCTGTACGGCACCCAGGGCACGCGCCCCGGCCCAGAGCGGAGGGGAGGGTAAATGACACGGCCCCGTGGGCTCACACCTGGAGCCCCTATTTTCTTCCTCCCCCCCGCCCCGTTATCCTCTGAGGGTTTGTCCCACCCAGTTCTGAAGAAGACCTGGGGAGAGGGGTTTCACGGCTGACCTGAGGCTTGGGGACCCACTGGCTTCTTTGGGCTTTTTCTATCTGCCCCAGGCCCGGAGCTCCCTCAAATCTAGTTAGAGCAGCCTGGGATGACCACAGACACGGGAAGGGGACACAGGAGCTGGGTGTGAGCACGCGTGTGTGCATGCGTGGTGGAGATGGGAGGGCGGTGCCACGGTCTCGGAAAGGCTCAGACCCCACCGCCTCTCTGCGCCATCCATCCAGGCTCCGGGACTACATGCCAGCAGGGGGGCTGACAGACACGTGAAGACTCCCGTCCTCTCCTGGCCCTGGCTGTTGCGGATTAAACCGTGTCCCCAAAGTGACATGTCCAAGTCCTAACTCCTGTATCTGTGAACGTGACCTTGTTTGGGGAAATAGGGTGCTTCTCTGAAGACAGGATTAGTGAAGTGAAGAAGATCATACAGGAGTAGGGTGTGTCCTGACCCTACATGACTACTGTCACAAAAGGGGGGGACAGACATGGAGACAGTGTCACACAGGGGAGACACCATGCGCAGACACATCTACAAAAGTCAAGGAATGCCAAGGGCCGCCAGTCATCAGCAGAAACTAGGAGAGAGGCATGGAACAGGTTCTCCCTCAGAGCTCTCAAAGGAAATCAACATGGCTGACACCCTGATCTGAACTTCCAACCTCCAGCACTGTGAGACAATACATTTCTGCTCTTTAAACCCATCCACTTTGTGGGATTTTGTGATGGCAGCCACTGAGAAACTAGATCGGCTAAGCTAGGGGTCCCCAGGGCCCACATTGCCCCAGCCCAGCGGGTCCAGGCATGGCGGCTACTGCCCACGTATAGGGGCAAGGGCCATAGGAAGTGGAAGTACCTCCAGGCCTACCGCCCGGGCATAGCGCCAACTCTGGTGCCCTCCCAGAGGTCCCTAGGGGACTCTCTGGACTCCAGGAGCTGCTGGTTGAGACAGGTAAGGGGGCAGCTGTGAAGCAGTGATAAAGGTGCCCTGGATGGAGCCCAGGGACTGCATTCTTTCCCCCGCCCCAGTGAGAAGCAGCTCCTGAGCCTGAGGGTTGGGTTGACTGCAGCGTCCCGGGATGCTCTGCCCTGTGGCCTGGCTGCCTCTGGGAAGCTGCGTCTTGTGCCCCCTAGTTCTGTTCTGTCAGCAACATTCTGAAGGGGGAGGTCAGAAGGCCCTGGTCTATACTGGGGCTGGATGCCAAGGCACCGGAAGATTCTGGAGAAGCAGCACACACCACTGGCTACCACATTCCACATGGTTGGTGTCAGCTGGCCTCTGTTCCCATCACTCATGAGGGTGTTGGGACACATCTGGAAAGTTGAGTTTTCACTGGTCCTGGTAACCAGCAGAGGCCAGGCACCTGCCCACTGGTTGGGGGCAAGATGGGGTACAGCATGCGATGGGAGCTGAGGCCTCCCCATTACCAAGGTGTGACCAGGCGGGCCTGCTTCCAGATACAACCACCCCACAGACATAGACAGGACTCGGTCTTTGCTTTCAGTGTAAGAGTCCCTCCCCCGCTTTCTCACCCACCTGCTTGTGGTCTGGCTCCAAACATGAAAATACTCCTTGACTGGAGGAGACAAGCTGGTAGGCCCAAACTTAACTGCTGCGTGACCTTGGGCAAGTCACTTAACCTCTCTGAGCTGCAGTTTGCTTATGTGTTAAGATGCTAAGGAACCTCCCAGGGTTACCCAGCTCTCTGAAGTCTAGGTGGCTTTGTCATCGTTAAACCAGGGCCCATCCTGGGAGCGTGGTCACTGAGGGTCAGTCTAGACCCTCTTTTACAGAGAGGGAAGTCGTGTGCCCAGTGTCACGGGGCCAGGAATCAGGCCCAGGGCTGCCTGCTTGTGCTGCCCTTAGCTCCGGGGCCTCTCACCCGAACATACTCTGGATGGGGTGCTGGGGGCCCTCACTGCTGGAGGCCCAGGGCTACTCTGCATATATCAACCCCTCAGCAGGGAGGGAACATGGCAGGCAAAAACTTTTCAGCTTGTAAACAGTCATTACGGAGCTAATAAACTGGATTTCCCAGAACCCGGCCCTAGGGCACCTTGCTTCCCTGGAAGAGGCCTGGGTAGCTGCCAGGGCTGCAAGGCACTGGGAGGTCGGGGACAGCCACCTACACCAGGGGTGATCAGGACCCACCAGGGGTGAGCAGGACTGGGGAGCTGAGACTAAGGCTCAAAGCTCAGCTTGGCCACCCACCCGCAGGGAGACCTTGGGCAAGTCACCACTTCTGAGCCTCAGTCTTCTCTGCTTGAAAATGGGGCCATACCCCACCACACAGGGCTCCTGCCACCAAGGTGACAAGACATCGTGGAGAGACAGGGCCTGGCACATCCTCAGTGGTCAGTGACTGGTAGCTTTTGCTCCTGACTGACCTCTGCCGCCAGAGTTCACCTGGTCTCCTATCTGAGCCAAGAGGCCCAAAGTGACAGGCCCCCATTTGACAGATGGGAAAACAGAGGCTCAGAGGCCCAAGGTCCCACACACAGTTTGTTAGTGGTGGGGTTGTGACCCCAGCCTGAGTCCTGCCCTCTTGTCCGTCACATCCTGCAACTTCCGGCCATCCCGGAACTGGAGAGGGGAAGCGGCAGCAGGACGGGCCGGCGTGGCAACTCCAAGTAATCGGGGTGCTGCCAGCCTTCTGGGGGCAGAGGCCTTTGACTCATGCACCCCTCCCAGCCCCTATCCAGAAATGACACTCCACTGCTTGGGTGGCACTTCTCCAGGGGCGTTCACAAACATCTTATTTAGATGGGGTGAAGGGGGCAGGCCAGGCAACTGCCATTATTCTCACTGACTGATAAGGTCGCAGAGCAGGGCGCAGGACACCAGTTCCCAATCCTGCTCCTCCTCCACCCCAGGGCTGGGCCTCACCCTCAGCTTCCAGGCTTTCTGGTGCCACACTGGGGGTGATAAACTGGGTGCGAGTTTTGGGAGGGAGAGGCGCTTCCTGCGGGGGACTGGGGGCATGAAGCCCCCCCATGCACATTCCAGGATGTTCCCGGAGGCTCCAGGGCCCACGTGAGAGGCAGAAGGAGGAGGCCAAGGCACCAGCAGTGCAGACGGACCAGGAGTGAGGGGCCTGGCCTCGTGACACACCCACCCCACCGCCAGCGACACACAAGCTGGCGGCTGGGAAGCCCTGGGCGGGGTTGGCAGTTCACGCCCTGACTGAAACCCACTCTGTTCCCTTGGCCACCTTGGCACCGAGCTCCCCCTACCCCGCCCCCAGACATGGCCACTTCTACAGAATAATAGCGGCTGCCCCTCTACCTGCAAGGACCCCTGGTGGCACAACAGTTGAACACTCGGCTGCTACCCGAAAGGTCGGCGGTTCAAACTCACCTACTGGCTCCGTAGGAGAAAGACTTGATGATGTGCTCCCGTAAAGATCACAGCCTAGAAAACGCTATGCGACAATTCTACTCTGTCATATGGGGTCACTATGATTCGGAATCGACTTGACAGCACCCAACAGCAACACCACCACTCTGGGTGCAGGTTCCTGTCTAGTGCCCCCAGCAGTCCCTGACAGGGAGGGCCACCACCATCACCACGAGTCTGTGCCTGGGCCACACAGAAGCAGCCCTGTTGCCACTGTCATGATGGTTCCCCACCACCGTGCTCCTACCGCAGCCGGGCTCCAGCCTTTACACATATCACTGCTGGAATCCTCACAACCCTTAAAGTAGACTTTTGTGACCCCCACTTATGGCTGGGGAAACTGAGGCACGGACCATTTAAGTGATCCCCTGCGTTGTAGTGAATTACTTAATATGCCCCTTCTAGCCAGTGTCTTGTAACTCCCACCAAATGACTGGGTGGGACTATGCAAATGAGGTGTTTGTGGCCCACCGAGGGGACTGGACAGCTTACTAACAATATAAATAAGGTGCACGGCATCCTTGTGGGGGTTGGAACATGCAAATAAGGTGTATAGAACCCTAATGAAGGGATTGGTTAGCTTTGCCATCCTGCTACACTTAAAAGAGCACCCAATCCCAGATCAGAAGGGGACCTATTACCACTAAGAAAGAAGAGCTAGGAGTGGAGCTTGTTCATTGGACCCGGGAACCCTGCGCTGAGAACCTCCTAGACCCAGGAGACAGAGAGCGAGCTGTTACATCAGAGGCAGCAAGAGATGGTGAGAAGTAGCAGCAGAGAAAGGGTGGCAGCAGAGGCAGCTGAACCAGGAGGCCAGCAGGAGATGGTGTCGTGGGCTTCCTGACCCACGGAGCAAGGCAGTTAACTAGGAGTGTGCTGATTCACGGAGGAAGAGAGCTGAGCGTCTTCGGGCAGGAGGCTTGCTGGCTGAGTAGGGCTTACTGGTAGAGCTAAAAGAGCTTTCTAACACTTGCCCAAGGAGGGCAGAGGCCAAGGGGTCAGAGAAAGTCGTACCTGTGAGCACGGCCGAGAAGAGGCTGGCCTGAGTGTTCCTGAACCTGAACTGTAACCTGTTACTCCTAATAAACCCGATAATCATGAGTATGGTCTGTGAATTCCGTGTGGCCACTGCAAGGAACTATTGAACCCAGCAGAGAAGTAGAGAGTGCCATGGAAGGGACGGCTGGTGTCAGAATTCATAAAAAGGCTGGAGAGAGGAGTCAGCTCCGCCTCATAGCAATCGGCCTTGGGCTGTTGATGATGATAAAGACTCTCTCTCCCGGTCCTGAAGTTAGAGGTCAGACACCTCCCCCAATCAAGCCATTTTGACATCCCCCTACCAAC